ATATATAGAAAGAGAGGCATAGATGGTGAGATAGGAAGAGAAAAAATAAATAAGGGGCTATTGGTCATTTTACAAGGTCTGATATTTTGTAATATATCTGAATTTAATATTGAGGGGTAATTTTGTCTTTTCATATAATTTAAGGCCTTGTTTGGATGGAATTTTAGAGAGGGGGTGTCATTGTCTAAAAAATAAGTAAGTTTCACCTATCTGTCCTTTTGACGAACCTCATGGGGTGTTAGTATACTTTACCCTTTTTCTTTTTATCCAGTCAATACCCCCATCATATGCTCACTACTACTTTCAGTTTCACTATCTATAACTAAAATGCATGTAGGGATTTTTATTTCCGTGAATAAAATACGTATATTAAAGGTACTAGCATTCAATTAAAGGCATATATTAAATCTCCTTGGAAATGGATGTTAAATAGGCAAAATCATCCAACACCTGAACTTTTTCTTTCTAAAAGAAAATAATTTTTTTTTTTTTTTTATAAAAAAAAAGGGTAATAAAGAAAGAAAGCTTAAAATTGAAAAGAGAAAAAGAAAGAAAGCCAATATTATAAACTTGTCTATTGTGTTTCAGTAGCATATCTTCAACTTGAGTTGGTCATATGTCACAATATAATAACTAAATCTTATTTTTATTGAATTTCTTGATTGAAATAATTATTTGATTTAAGAAGGATAATTTGATATTTTGAAATAAGAGTTTTGAAGATATTTTGGACTTGTAGAATGATTATCAATGTATATGTAATTATTTTGCTTAATTTAATCAAAGTGAAAAATAAACTTAAAAAATAGACCAATTTATTATTTAGGACCCGAACTTGATGTAAGTGTAGTTTTCCAAAAAAAAAAAACTAATACAAAATTCTTATTTCATGGTTTAGATAAATAAAAGTTTTTTTTAAAATGCTTATTTGATGGTTTGGATAAATATTTTTTTTTTTTTAAATGTCTTTGCTTATCTAAATTGTCCTTCTTATTAAATACTAATGTTGTGTTTGATGTGCATGAATGGAATGGAATGCAAGAAAGTAATAAGAATGGGAATGAAATGGAATGGAATGGAATGAGCATTCTCATTTTATTGTTTGGTTGTAAATATGAAATGTGTAATAATTGAATGATAACAACCATTTTATATTTGGTTGGACCACAATTTAAAATTTAAAATGGAATAAATTTCAAATTGAATTATCCAAAATATTTCTCTTAGTAACAAATAAATTAAATTAACAAAATGACATTCTCTAATATTTTTTTAAAAATAAATGGTGGCAGTGGTGATAGAGGACTTAGGGCTGCAAATGAGCCGAGCTGTTCATGAACAGCTCGGGCTCGGCTCGTTAAGGGCTCAGCTCGGGCTCGTTCATTAAACAAACGAGCCGAGCTTGAGCAACGCTGGGCTCGGCTCGCTTAAGCTCGTGAACATGAACTTGTTTAGGCTCGTTAATGTTCGTGAACATGAGCTCGTATAAGGCTCGTTATATTTATATACGTAATATATATTATATTATATATATATATATATATATATATGATTTTATTATAATTTATAGCATAAGTACCCAAAAGAAAATAGATTAAATTACAAACTATTGCACACCTGTCAATTGATCAAAACTTACCTTATCTCTTTGAAATCTCAAATCTTATCTGTTACTGTTGGGAAATCTCACGAATCTCTTGACGGGGTTAATTTTATCTCCATCTGGCATCTTCCCTTATTCATTCTCCAACGAAGACGATTTATGGAATTATTGTGACTTGTGAAGCCTGTTCTTCAGTTCCTCAGTTCCGTCTTCTGGACTCTGGAGTGAGCGAATTGTGAGGCCTCTTCTTCGAAAGTCCTTTGGGGCTAACCGGTTACCTTGCCTGAAGGTTGACAATCTCGTCTCGATCTAGACTGCTGCAAGATAAGTTACTGGAAATTTTGGAACAGATCAAATAAGCTAATCTCTTGGTGTTTCAGACATCAGAGGAAATTGAGGCTAAATCTTTGCCTTTGGTAAGAAATCCTAATGGGATTTTTATATGGTTTCGCATATGTGGAAAACCATGGAGTCATTTTTGTTTTATATGTTCTTTTTCTTTTTCTGGCATTACAGTTCTGTAAACATTTATTTATTTATTTATTTATTTTGCCTTTTTGAAATGCTTCAATTGTGCTTATTCCTAGAACAGTTAGTACTATTTTTATAGCTTTAAGATGAAAGTTCAATGTTTGACTTCCTATATGGTTGCTATCAAGGATGCAGATTTTTCTAATGTGTATGCTGTGTTTTGTTGTTTGCCACATGGAACCACACAGGTCTTTTAATAATTCTGTGACATGATTTCATTCATGCAATTAGAAAATTTATTTTATTTTATTTTTGATAAGTGCAATCAGCAAAATTGCAACCTACTGAATTCTCTTTCTGAAAGTTGAAAAGCATTTAATCCGCTGACTTCTGCAAGCTGTAAACTATACATACAAACATGAGTGATCACCATTCAATGTTGCAAACTAATTTATGTAACTAGCATTACATACTGTTGTTCACTTGCTTAAATATAATCCTTGAATCTGTGTCTAGTGACCTGTGACCACCATGGGCTTAGTCAAGTGGCATGTCGTTCTCTTTCCAAATGAAAGACCAAGGAGAATGTAACTTTAATGTAATCCTTGAATCTGTGTCTAGTGATTATTAGTCAATGTTGCAAACTAAAGCTGTACTATATTTCCTTGTATTGCCTTTGTATTGGATTTCCTGTAGGAGGTTTCTTTGTATTGCCTTGTATGGCTAATTTGGCACTACCAAGGAGAATGTTCCTTAGGGGGTGCTGGATTGACTTATGAGTTATGATGTACATATTTTTTCATTTTGTGGGTTATGTCAATCGGGGGAATTGGTGCAATTGCTTTGCGAATTTTTTTTCTTACATTGAATACATAAATATTTATTATAAATGTTGTACTATTTTTTGATGATCATAATTTTCAATGAAACAGCTTTCGTTTTGCTTCATACGGTGCATACAGAGTATTGAGGACCAAGTTGATCACTTTGCAGAAAAGGCAAATATTGAAATTAAGTAATAGTATGCAGTTTTTGATGCCAAAGTTGTAATAAGATTCCAAGAGGGCAATAAAAAGACAAGAAAAAGGCTTAAGAGAAGTTGATGTTTCCTTTCTGATAGACAATTGGGTGGCTATAAGTTTTTATGTATGCCTAGAATATTAGTTTTCAGTTTTCTTTATGATGTTTCTAGTGGTTGGGTTCTCAATTTGGATGAAATTTTACTTTCCTAGCTTGTTTCTAGTTTGTACTCTGTAGGTTTCCTGAGACCTCTCTGGCAAACACAATGAATATTGTAATAACACAAATATAGCAATTTGTTGTTATTGTTGTGTTTTTTTGCATGATAGTGTGTATGTGGCCTGTAGAATACTAATTAATTTTGAATTTTAATTTAATTTTTTTGTTAAACGAGCCGAGCCCGAGCTTTTAAAATCAAGATGAGCCCAAGCCCGAGCTCAAATTTTTGAGCTCGTCACGAGCTGAGCCCGAACAACCTAAAGCTCGGCTCGTCTCGGCTCATTTGCAGCCCTAATAGAGGTGGAAAGTGGTAGTGGTGGTGTTGGAAGGTAGGGGTGGTGGCAATGGTGGATGGTGGTGGTGGAAGGAGATAGTGGTGTAGGTGGTGGTAGGGGGTGGAGAAAGGTGGTGGCAGTGGTGGCATTGGAAGGAAGTGGCAATTGAAGGTGGTGACGGTGGTGAAAGGTAGTGGTGGAAAGTGGTAGTGGTGGTGAAAGGTGGTGGCAGGTGGCGGTTGTCGAAGGCAGTGATAGTGGCTGAAGGTGGTGGTGGTGGTAGCGGCTGTAGCGGTGGTGAAAGGCGGTATTGGCGGCGATGAAAGGCGGTAGTTACGGCAAAGGAAGACGGTGTTGGTGGTGAAAGGTGGTGGCTGTAGTGGTGATGGAAAGTGGTGGATGATGGTGAAAGTCAGTGGCGGTGGTGGTGGTGGTGGAAAACGTGTAAGATTATTTATTAATTGTGTGACCCACATGTTTTGGACATTTGATATATCTCATTAATTAGTGGTTAAGTAAATATGTATCAGATTAATATTATATTATTTGGTCAACTTATAAATTACCTTTATGATAATTAATTATTGGAGAAGTGTTTTCTTATTTATTCCTTACTTTGATGGAAAGTGAAATTAAGGTTATTAAAAACGAAAACTGGTCCTCCCTCTCCCTTTATAAAAGTGCATATATCCCATTAATTATGTACTCTAATAAAAACAACATGTATAATATTTATGTGTATAAAAAGTCAAGAGAAACAACACGTATAATATTTTGTGTATAAAAAGTCAAGAGAAACAATACGTAAAATATTTATTTGTACAAAAGGTCAAGAGAGAGAAATTGGTTTCCATGCTTTGACTATTGCAGTTTAGCATGTTGTTTGTTCACAGAAAGGATCTTCATATTTGCCTTAATCTCTTCGAATTTTACAATTATAGATCGAGATATTTATATCTAACTATTTAATTATGTGAAAATCATGAAGTTTTAAGATATGTGATTCATGTAAATTTGTGTTTAATGTTTGACAAGAATAATTATAGTTTACAAAGCGATGGTAGTGGTGGTGGTAAGCGGTGGTAGTGGTGGTGGTGGTGAAAGGCGGAGGTGGTTTTTGAACTTGAAATATGAGAGTTTTTTGGGAAGTTGATTTTTAAAAAAAAATTACTGGGGAATGGATTTTCATTCCCAATAATGGATTTTCATTCCAAATGGAATGGTCATTCCTAATTTAAATTGCATACCAAACAAAAGAATAGTTAGAATAGACATTTTATTCCTACACACCAAACTTAGCATATAGTTTTTCCTATTTTTATTTAAAATAAAATATAAGAGTAAGCTTTTTTATTTTATTTTTTATTTTTATTGTAAAATCAGACAATATCCATTTCATTTAGAGACCGATGTTAGGTGACCCGCAGGTGAATCAATCAAGACTCACTGTTCTTCGAGTTCTCGTAAACTTTCGCGCTCGAGAGAGAAAAAATCCCTAATCTACATTGTCCCACTCTACGATCTTCGTCAAGAAATCGATTGCATTTCGAATTCAATTCAGAATTCGAATACAACAAAACTCCGAATCTGATCTGCCTGACTTGGCGATGAAACCCTAGTTCTGATCCGACAATCCAGAAAAACCCTAATCGAATCTTCGCATGGATGCGAAGGACATCTTGGGGTTGCCCAAAACTCCATTGTCTTTATCTCAGGAAAAGAAGTCCAGACCCCAGAAAGATTCTCAGAGGAAACCAGACGGCGTTTCAAGGGAGGTATATATTTGCTCTTTCTCACCCAATATTTGATTGGATTTTGCTCGAATTGTTCACTGAATGGTTGGAGAATTGAAGGTATATGCTCTTACGGGTGGTTTGGCGCCTCTCATGCCTTCCATTGACATCGCGCAACTGAAACGGCGAGCTCAAACAGAAAATGAAAAGGTTAGTCATTGTAAAGAATTATTATTATTTTTTTATTCTGGCATTTTTTGCAAAATTGGTTAAATTATAGCATATTGTAGAGTTTAGATGTGTTTGAACTTTGAAGAAGTCCTGGGTGAAGCTAATACGATCGAAATAACATTATGAGGTTTTTTTTTTGTTTTTTTTAAAAAAAAAAATTACTTGCAATTGCTAACAAACAAATTATGCAAGCACTAGCAGTTGATGTGCATCCTCTATTTGGGGGTTAGAGTACTTAGTTTTGCTTTGTTAAAGCTGAATATTAAATAACATAACTACTCTTTGTATGTTCAGCTCATTAATTGAAATTAAGGTCATTTAACTATTTAAGTTGATGTGCATCCCCTATTTGATGATTTGTTGTGATCTTTGGATGACCAAAGTTGCTAAGTTAACATTTAAGTTGGCTTGATTTTTTTATTTTTGGGATTGCTTCGGTATATAGTTGATATTGTGTTCTGATTGCTTTGGAACTAGGTAGTTTACCAGAACTTATCCACAAAAAAAAACAATAGTTCTCATACATTGAAATTTAGGTCATTTAACTTGGCAGCATTCCCCATGTGGCGATATCATGTGAACTTTTGATGAAGAAAATATATATGTACAGGTAGATGTTTTGTTGGGCAATTGGAAAGATTTTTCTTTTTTTTTTTTTTTTTTTTTTTTTGTTTGGCTAGTAATATTTGCTCTGATTGGTCTGGCGGTAGAGACATCGGTAAACTCCTTGTGCTCTCTCTCTTTCTCTAGGAGGGCAATGACACTTTAATTTTTATTTATTTTGGATTTGGGATTCTCCGTTCAGATTACCTGGCAGTGGCTTCCTTTTACAAGTTCTGCACGGAAAGATAATTTGCAGCTTTACCACTGGGTATGTCTCCTGTCCATTGCAAAGTATACTTCAGGAATCATGAATTCTGTTCAAGATTGTAATCTTAGGGTGTTCAAGAAACTTTTGTGGCTCTTTTGCTTTGCAGGTTAGAGTTGTAAATGGGGTTCCTCCAACAGGTGACTATTCATTTGCCAAGTATAACAAGGTATGCACAGTTAATTAAGCTCCAGTCTTCATGTATGTCATGCAACAAATATAATATTTCAGTTTCCACTTAAATATGGAAATTTATTTCATATAGCTTTCGCATAATTGTTTTTTGCCCTACTTAGATATATTTTTTTCATAGGCACCCTAGTTGTATACTTAACATTGCTTTTTATGATTCTTTGTAACAATGAATCTGTTCATTCGATGTGGTGCAGTCTGTCAACATTGTCAAGTACACGGATGAGGAGTATGAAAAGCATTTGACTGATCCTGTAGGTATCACCTTAAAAATGCGTGTTTCTAATTTGATTACCCCTACACTTGTAAGATGTATTTTGATTATGCTTTATATTGCATCTTAAAATATTTTTCCGTTAGTACGCATTTCTGAATTTACCCATTGACGTAACAATCTAATAAACTGAAATATGAGATGATAGAGGAGGATAAAGATTTAGAATGTTATGCTTGTGTATGTTTTTATGAATGCATGTAAAGAATCATATTGCAAGTATGAGGCAGTTTTGGTGCATTACTTGTTATGTTTGGTTCTTCAGACAAGGGGCAAAATAAAATGACAAATGAACCTCTTACTTGCTTTAGGTGTAGTTCCTTGTCAATCAACCTAAACATTTTTTATTTAGGAATACGTGTGCTTAGCATTCTCTCTATCAATGGCCAGATTAGAATTTCTTGGTTTCTGAAGTCATTCTAGATTATTTTTGGTCTTTAACTTAGTTAATTAGTTTCATATAGCTATTTCTTCAAGCATTCAGCTAATTTCGTCAACTTGTTACTTATCAATAGTATTTTATTGGCTGCATTTGATTTTAGACACAATGGATATGTATGAGCACATATTTATTCCGACAAGGCTTTGATTTTGCCACCCAGAAACTTTATTTTTCTTTCCTTAAATTGTTGGCAGTTGAAATTTTCAAGATGTTGAAGGCATTTCTAAAGCATTGAGTTTGCCAAACCTTGCGTTTTGACCCCTTCTGAATTTTAAACCTAAAAAAGTTGAGCATTCTTAAAACTCTATAATATGACCTGGATTAAACTGGATAATACTAATAATATAGGACTTAATGCTGTATTGGTTTAATTAGTTTTGGCTATATCTTTTGTGGCATTGCCTCATGATTCCACATTTTACTTGTCTTTTTGCATTCTCTCATTGTTAGATGTGGACCAAGGAAGAGACAGATCAGCTGTTTGACTTGTGTGAACGGTTTGACCTCCGCTTCGTTGTGATAGCAGATAGGTTTCCATCATCTCGAACTGTGGAGGAACTTAAGGATCGTTATTATACTGGTATTGTACTATCTTGTTTGATATGAATGCTCGACTGTATTATTCGTAAATCTGATAGTCATCCTGGGATATTATCTTTTAGAAATTTTTACTCTATTATTGATTAATATGGCATTCTTTGTGGACAGTATCTCGATCTATCATGATAGCTAGGGCTCCATCTTTTGCTGATGTTTCTGGGCATCCTCTTGTTAAGGTTTAATTGTTTCAGGATTAAGTTTATTACATTAATATACTTTCTTATGTTTTTTGTAGATTTTCACATCATGTTATTTCCTTCTAGTTGACCAAAATTTTACATTAGTAACTTTTAAGCTTTTCATTTCGATGTAGGAACCATACAATTTAACGCAAGAGATTGACCGCAAGCGTGCATTGTCAATGGTCCTCTCTCAAACAAAGCAGCAAGAGCGTAAAGATGCTGAGGTCTGAATTTTTATTTTTCATCTCAGAATGTTCTTTGGCATATTTGTGAACCTTCTTGATGTAACCTTTATTAGAACTATAGAATGAATATGTTGATTCCTTGCTTTGCTGATTTATCCTTTTTTTTTTTTTTTTCAGGTTCTTGCTGAAGCAAAGAGAATATCCGAGTCACGCATGGTTGCAAGGGTAAGTTCTCTATTGGATTAGCGACTCTACTTTTTACCAACGGGTGTTGTTCACAATTAAAACTGAAGAGAAATGTGCTCATTTATACAAGGTCTGTTTGGTTCATTTCTCTGAGGGAAAAAAAAAAAAAAAAAAAAAAAACTATTCTCAGAGAACAAAAAAGAAAAAAGAAGAGTTTGAAAATTGTTCAGTTTTGAAATTGTATTATGAAACAGAGTTAAAAAGGCCTATGGCCGGCTCGGTTCAATTTCTTAAGAACAGTTTCTATATTCAAATAACAGAAACAAAAACAGTTTGAAAATTTATTTGGTTTACAATTTTGTTAAACTATTTCCTGAAAATTTGAGTTTAAAAAGGGTTATTTTAGGGATCAATCTTACATAATAATTCTTGAAAACTATTTCAATGGATTGAACCAATAAATTCAGTGTCCTATTGTTATTTGTTGAAAACTATTTTCTATTCTCAGTTCTTGAAAATTACAACCAAACTGACCCATGGAAGTTGTGTATTTTTCATGGTCTAGTGGCAATGCATCATCTTTATGCTTTGTTATATAAGTAATACCTTGTAAGTACCTCGTGTTGGATTGAAGGATTGTTAGGATCAGAGATACCAAGGCTTCATGGGAGTGAGAAACAGGAAACACTGTTCTTACCACTTAAAGATTTGCAGTTTTGTAATATATATATATATATACACACACACACACACACACACACATATATTGTAATTGAATCAAAAGAAAACTATGTACAAGGAGAAGAGAGGCAAACTTCTCTGGGTTCAAAAACACTGCCACAGCAAGTCATCCAAAGCAGAAAAGCATGAACCTCTCCAAAAGGGAAGGTATCTAACTAACAGAAAACTCACTAAACCTCTTAGGATGGAAGGATATCATTTAAGCCTAACAGTCTCATGGATCTCATGGTCTACCGACCCTTCATCAGTAAAAGTATTAGAGAATCTTCTCGAATTCTTTTCCTTCCTAAGCATGTAGACACAACAAGCCAAGGTAATCTTGTGGAGCATACACAACCAATTCTTATGAGAATTACAGTTCACAGAAGTCCATTCTAAAAGATCAGAGAGAGTAGATTTACCCTACCAGTTCAAGTCCACGGCATCAGCCACAATATTCCACACCTTGAGGGCATCATAATTACACTGAAAGAATAGGTGACAAGCAGTCTCAGAAGTTCTTCTACAGAAAATGCAAGAATCATTTTTGAGTTTAATCCCATTGCTCAAGAATGTCCATAGTCTGCAATTTTCCCTTGGTAGCCCGCCAAAGGATAAAGCAGTGCTTTGGAATTCCTCCCTTGAACCAGATGGTTTTATACTACCCCAAGCCCCATGGTGGGTTCAGAGATCTTCATAAGCATCTTTCAGGAGAAGGGATTGTTGGTAGAAGACTGAACTACCCTGTCACTACCAATACCAGAGGGTAGAGGTTGTTGACCTATCAAAGTCCCAATATCTGTAATAGCTGCAACATGATATGCAGGCCTTTTCCACTGGTTGGCTTCAATAATGTCAGCAACCTTGGCATCCTTAGACAGCCCTGAGTCATAAATAATCCCATATCCCTTGGCTAGACAATTGGCCGACAGGGAAGCCAAGAACCAAATCACAGAGTGGTACTTCTGCCTGAGATAATGATATGTTAGAACTTAAATTTCAGGAACTCTCTAAGCAGGAGCATTTGCCTCCAACACCAGGATGCTGAGGATGGAATTTTTGCAAGCCCGACATTCTTCCTTTTTAACAGGTGGATATTAAACCATTTGCACCACAGAATTAGATTCAGAAACTAAGTCATTAAGAAGGTGCCAGATGTTCTTGGCAAAAATAGCTCTTTTCCAAGTTAGGAGATCCTTGATACCCAAACCACCTTCAGAGAAAGGAGTGAAAATTTCAAGCTAAGACACTTTACATCCTCCTATCTCCAAAGAAGAACCTTACCACAAAATCTCATAAGAGTATGCTGGATGGCAGCCAAGATTTTCTTAGGAAGAATAAAGTGGGCAGGCCGATGGACCTGAATAGGGAAAAAGGATAGTTTTTTAGAAGTTGAAGTCTTCCAGAGTAGGACAGCCAATTTGTAGTCCAGCTTTTGGCCTTGGCTTTGATCTTCTCCACTAATTCTCTGGAATCTTTCACCTTTAATCTGGTTGTGAGAAGAGCGACACCTAAGTATTTGGCAGGCAGAGATCCCTCTGAAAATCCCATATTGTTGAGAATAGTAAGCTTATCTACCACTGTTACACCACCAAAGAAGGCTTTACTCTTAGCAGTGGTAGGAGTGAGACCAGAAAAATCAGAAATGGTATTCAACATCCCATGAATAGTAGTGGCTAATTGAATGCTGCCATCAGAGAAAACAGATAGATCATCAGCAAAACACAAGCGAGACTGCTTTACCTCTTCAACCTCCAGTACTGCTCACATACTGATTGAAGAGCCCATTGAGACCCTCCATGCAAAGCGCAAATAAGTAGGGAGATAGGGGATCATCCTGTCTATTGCCTCTGTCACTCCTAAAGTAACCACATAGCTCCCCATTGATGGCCACAGAGAATACAGGAATGGAAATACACATGAATCCAATCAACAAACTTCTGAGGAAAGTTAGGAGCATGAAGAGTAGCTATGATGTGATTCCAATTGAGAGAGTCATATGATTTCCTTATATCAACTTTGAAAGAGCTTCTAGCTGGGCAAAGATGCTTGTGCTAATCCCTCTGGAGCTTCTGAGTCAACAAAGTGTTGTCTGATATCCTTCTCTGGGGAATGAAAGCTGTTTGGTTAGGAGATATCGGTAGGTTCAGCACCTTTTTAATTCTATTGGCCAAAATCTTAGTCAGACATTTATGTAAGGTGTTGCAACATGCTATGGTCTGAAGTCAGATAGAAGAGAATCCTTAAGGGATTTGGGAACATGGGTAAGGTAAGTGGGACTCATTTCTTTAGGATGTTCCCAGTTGCAAAGCTAAACTTAATAGCTTAACTAATCTCACTGCCCACAATGCTCCAGTTCTTCTTGAAGAAATAGGAGTGAACCTATCAAGCCTTGGGCTCTTCCCATCCTTCATGGAAAACAGAGCACAGTTTTGCAATTTCCTTTACAGTTTTACATTTCTTAAAGGTTCCGAATTCTGGTACACTTATTGTACTAGTAAATCTGCATATTTATACCTATATATAATTGATGACTCCTTTTGGTTGGATTTGTTATTTATTTATTTATTTTTATCTAAAGTGCTTACACATGTCAATGGTGGAGAAATTTTGATGGGTACTATAACTAAAAATGGTTTAAGGGAATAACTGAATTCAAAAAAGAAGGAATACAACGAGGTAAGAAATACTTGTGCAGCACATAGCCCTTTAGTTACTTATTATTGCCTCACACATCCTTCCCAGTTCCTTTCCCACCTTCTTATATATATATATTTATATCGTCTTTAGTATAGTCTAGACTTGTGCTTTGCTCTTTCGTCCATCTTCCAAGCCCTTGATTTTGCTTCTGCATCATTTTTTTAGCTAGCTGTGCTGTGCACTTGCTCTATTAATCATGATGGTCTGGATCACAATGCTGATGCTTTGTTATGATGTTATCAACTCTCCGAGTGTTAACAACCATCTACTTTAAAAGCTTAAGCTGTTAGAGAGGGTGTAATTTTAATATTTAAATCCTCTAACACCAAGTTCATCGGAGCTACAACTAATGCCTAGTTAAGGATTGACTTTTTGGAAATTTCAAGATGATCATTTGGATAAATGACTGATAGCAATTTTCATTATATTTGTAGTAGGGCACTTCAATTAACTGCAATCTTACAATATTCTTGATTAAAACTGTGGACAGTAATGCTACACACTTGTAGCCAAGCTGAGCTGAGGATAAACAGGCTGAGCTAAGCTGAGTATCAAAATATTCAAACTAGGCCCAACAGGCGTGTGGAAAATTTGGATAAATGACTGATAGCAATGTTCATTATATTTATAGAAGGGCACTTCTATTAAGTGCAATCTAACAATATTCTTGGGAAAACTGTGGACAGTAATGCTACTCTAAGACACTTGTAGCCAAGCTGAACCGAGGGTAAACAGGCTGAGCTAAGCTGAGTATATTCAAACTAGGCCCAACAGGCATGGAGAAAATTTGTAGCTGTGTTCGAACTCAGCTACATAATTTCCAGTCTTGATAAAACTCTTCTTCATAAATGTGAAAGCTACTTGACTCAGCTTGATTTGAAACAAGTTGGAGACTTGCATAACGGCAGGTTTGTTGGCTTGATTTAGGAGAAAAACAAATGAGAGGATGAGATAATTCCAAACTCTGCAGTAAGATAAAGACAGAGAGCCTGACATGTAGTGTCGTAGCCTTTTTTAACAAATACTAAAACGAACCAAACTAGTTGAGCGCCAATAGTTTGTCTTGTTTTACAGCCCCATTGGTGTCATTGTCATTCTCAGTTTGATTCTCTTCTGGTAGGTTTCATTTGTTGTGGAAATATATTTATAGTTTTGAATCCTTTTTTTCCTTGAGTAGGCTTGTAAGAGAGAGCCTTCAATGGAAGTTGTCCATATTTCTATACTATGTCGAGTAAATAAAGAAATTGTAACCTGCTTATAATTGCTCTCTTCCATATCGTTGTTGTAAGTTTTTTTCCTTCTTTCATTTACTGTCTTTGGGCCCACAAGACTGATTGTTTAGTCATGCATGTTATTTGCCTTTTCTTGTCCTGTCCTTTCAGGGTGCTGAAGAGTCTGAGTTGCCAGTCACATCCAATGTAGGTGCGGAAGGTACAGAGAGGGCTATTGCTCCTGTTGATAATGTATCACCACCTTCCAATGGTCAATTTGCCTCTGCCACTGCTGCACTTCCATCATCAGCGGCAGAGAGTGCCTCTGTTTCAGGTTCTCTTCGCATGGTATGTTTGATAGTTGGATTTCTTTTGTGGTTTTATTTTTCTTCTTCTTCTCCCCTCCTTCCTTCTTTTATTTTTTATTTATTTTTTTATATCATACTGGCACTTCAGAAAAAGCCTTGGGATAGTGGAGTGTTCAGGGCTTTTTTTCTTCTTTTTTTTTCATATATTTTTTTTAAAGAAAATGAATTTGTCTCCGCAACAATTTGGACTTCTGCTGCTGTCTGAAAGTTCAGTAGAACTTTTATTTGTGCCTTCTTTATGTAGCACATATACGTGTATAAGGGAGTTATATATCATCATATCCGTCTTGGATTCTCCCGGTTACATGTATGAAATTTTGTAGATGTATCCATAATTTTAAATATTTTATTTTTTGTTTTGTTTTATATTTTGAATTCAGTTATGATACTTCTCAAATACACGAGGACACATGCTCAACATTTCTTGAATATTAGGATAGATCATTTCTAGTATATTGTTGTCATATCATTTAAGTATTATAAGTTGGAAATCCAGAATATTTAATAGATTCATAAGAATACTTGTTTGTCATAATTTTTATAGGAGAATGATATATATATATATATATATATATATGTATGTATATATATGTATATATATATATTCATTGGCAAGAAACACACGCACCCCAGTACTAGGATGGGTGATCCCCTGTGAAGTCCTTGTGTTGCATCCCTTTTTACTTATCAAAAAACAAGAAACACACACACCCCACTCACACACCAACTTTGCTCACTCACATACCAAGGGCCTTGTGGCCTAGTGGTATCTCCTCTACCTCTTAAAGTGGATGGTGAGCGTTCGTGTCCCTATAGGAGAATGATATTCAACACTCCATTTTTGTACTGTTGCAATTCACCTCACCCCCACCAACAAAAGAATGACATTACTGTACTTTAAATGGTGAAACCATTCTCACACACCACAATTATCCTAATCAACTCACATCCACTTTTAAGGGGAGCGTTAAGAGTACAAAGTGGAATGAGAATATCATGTCCCTATCTTTATAAGGGAATGTTATAAATGTTAGTAGATTTTTTACTTCTCTCAAACACTTGGTGAGCAAATAAGTAAAGCAAGTAAAGAACTAAAGATGCAAATGTAAGAACAATAACCAAATGTAAGAGATTGGGATAGAGAAGAGCAAACTCAAGAACACCTAGATTTAGAGTGGTTCGGCAACCCCCGCCTACATCCACGACTTAAGAGTGCCTCTCGAAATTTCCAAATCCGCTAAAAAGCTTTTCACAGGTGAAAAGCAAACCCATGCACGACTCTTCGTCATGGTTGAAAAGCAATCCTCACAAAGCACTTCTTCATGGGTGAAAAGCAACCCTTACAAAGCTTTACAAGCTTGTTTCTCTCTTTGTTAAGATCACCTCTCTTAGACTTCAAGACCTTGTTTGGCACGCAGGAATGAAATGGAATGGGAATGGAATGAAGCTGAGAATGAAATGGAATGGCCATTCTCATTCTATTGTTTGGTTGCAAATATGAAATGATGTAGGAATGAAATAATAATCACCATACTAAGCGGTGGTGGTGGAAGGTGACGACGGTGGAAGCGGTGGCGGCAGATGGCGGTTGCAGTGATGGCGGTGGTGGCAGGCGGTGTCGGAAGGCGATGGCGGCAGCATTGGTGGTTTTTGGCATTCCCCCTTTTACAAAGCTGGCCTAGAATAAGCCCACTTCCAGTAGATGCAACAAAAAAATAAACCAGAGAAACTCAACATCAAGTACTAAAAATGATTAGCAAATCTTCAAGCCTAAAATCAAGATAGGCAAGCACATCCCAAATGATAGTCCTGACAGCATAAATAGCAGAATCCTTAGTGCCATTGCGGAGAGATGAATTTCTAATTGGCCAAATTTTGCAAATGGTAACAACAAAAACAGCACCCAAATCCTTTGACTTCCTAGATTTATTAACTGAATTATCCAAGAACCAATCTGTCAATTGTTTAATAGAAGTAAATCGCGGCAGCTCCAAATGAAGTAATGATGCCAGCTCTTGCCAAATTGCAACAGCATAAACACACTCACAGAATAGATGATCGTTAGAATCTATATTTGCCAAACAATTCTGACATATGGAAGTAATAACCAGACCTCTTTTCTGCAAATTAACAAACCTGAGATTCTTGTTATGAAGAATAATAGTGACTCCCACAGCAATGCGAGGTCGGCAGTAACCCCAAAATAATTTACTCCAAGAAATCTTCTGTTTTTTAACCCTACATGCACTCCAAGCAGCTTTCAAAGAGAAAGTACCATGCTTCCATATAACCGAATCAGATCCAGCCTGTAATTGCAAACTTTGGATAGCATTACATATCTCCCCAGGTAAATCAAGATGGAAAATCCAAGAACCATTCTGAATTATTGAAGACAGCATAGTATTTCTGTCAATATGTCGAAATCTTCTAGCGCCAAACTGCTGAACCAATGATTGATTATTACACCATGGATCAGTTAGCAATTTGAACTTCAAACCATCACCAGCCTTGAACTCAGTATGTTCCAGAATTAGGTGTCTAACCCCAACTATTTGTTTCCAGATAGAAGAAGCACTTAACTTTGGAACCACAGACCAAAAACAAGCTTTCTGAAGATACATGGCCTGCAACCATTGGATCCAGAACTTTTCTTTGTTCTGAATAAAGTCCCAACACTGTGTCATTTTTGCTGCACAATCAATATCCTGAATCCTCATAATATTGAATCCACCTTCAGCTACAGGAAGAGTCGCTTGACTCCACTTTACTTGAGACATTTTCTTCAAATCCTGCTTACCACTCCATAAGAACCACTTAAACCTCTTCTCCAGCTGGTATATGACAGCCCAAGGGATTTTAAACCCAAACAACCAATGATAAAGATAAGAAAAAAGAACTGATTTAATCAACTCCATTCTCCCTGCAAGAGACAAATTAATAGTATTCCAGTGAGCTAATTTGGAATTCACTTTATCCAACAACGGTCGACAATCCCGTGTCCTCAACCTTTTATAAGACAAAGGCAGTCCAAGATATTTAAATGGAAACTTCTGAGTCTGAAAATTGAGAATTCTGGACAACCTTCTTCTCCCTCTGCTTTGGAATAGATAATGGAACTCTTCACAGGATTAACTTGCAGTCCAGCAACATCTTTGAATTTCTTAAACACAGCATCCACATTTTTTGCGGTAGAAACATCAGCCTTAACCACCATGAGAAGGTCATCTGCATAAAATGTATGAGAAATATACATCCCAACACTAGCCACAGCCTTACACAATTGAATCCTTCTTGTTTGGATTTCATTAGTCATTAAGGTACTGAAGTATTCAGTGACAAATGAAAACATGAGAGGAGATAATGGACAACCTTGCCTAATCCCCCTAGTAGCACCAAAATAACCAATAGGAACCCCATTACATAAAATGGAGAACTTAGAAGTAGAAATACACTGAGTGACCCAGCCAATCCACCTATCACTAAATCCATGAACCTGCATCCTTCTCAGAATAAACCCCCAATCTACTGAGTCATAAGCTTTTTTCAAATCTACCTGCAGAGCAATGGAAGGATCTCCTTTCTTCTTACCAAAATTTTTAATCAAAGTCAGAAACCAGAAGAAAGTTATCATGCAGTCTTCTTATCTTTATAAAAGCTGACTGTTCAGGTCCTATAAGAGAAGGGAGGACTGTGCTAAGCCTATTGGCTAAGATCTTAGAGATAATTTTATACACTGTATTACAAAGAGCTATAGGCCTGTAATTTGCAATCTTATCCCCATGATTAGCTTTGGGGATTAGAGTAAGAAAGGTAGAGTAAATCCCTTGAGGAAACTTACAGTGGTCAAAAAAATGCATCACAGCTTTGGAGACATCCTTCCCAACCACTGCCCAAAATTTCTGAAAAAATCTAGGAGGAAAACCATCTGGGCCAGGTGCTTTGCCAGGATGAAAACTCATAACCACATCTTTGATTTCTTCAGCAGTAACAGGACCATCAAGAGAAATGCACTCATCTGGGGTTAACACCTTCCTAGGAGGGCACACATCCTGAATTCTCTCTCCTTGCTGAGAATATAAGTCAGTGTAGAAGTTAACCAACCACTCTCTAATCACTTTGGGATCTGCAGACTGCTCTCCTGTTGAATTTTGCAGTTGAGTAATATATTATAACCTCTTCTTTGCTTGACCATATTGTGAAAAAATTCATTGCATTTGTCCCCTTCTTTCAGCCACTTACTTCTGGATTTTTGAGCCCACAAGATTTCTTCAATATCTAGAGCATGTTGTAATTGAACACTAGCTTCTCTCTCTTTAAGAACACTTTCCTCTTGCTCTGAAACTGTACGTATTCTCTTATTCCATTCTTTGACAGCAGATTTCACAGCCCTTAAATTCTGTTGCAACACATGTAAAGGACTTCCAGAACCTGAAACCTCCCAAGCTTTGGAAACCACCTTAGCAACTTCCTCTAGAACACACCAAATCTTAAGGAATTTAGATGGCTTAGGACCTTCAGAACAATGAAGATGCCATTTAGTAGCTAGACCATAATGATCAGATAATGAAGCTGCTGTAAGATGAACTTTAACATCATTGAATTGCTGAAGCCACCTATCATTAATCAAGACTCTATCCAATTTAGCATTGATCCTCTTCTGCATACTCTGTTTATTTCACCATGAGCACTCACCATTGTTTATAGGAACATCCTCCATCTTAAGATCATAAATGACACTATTAAATTCATCCAGCCTACTTTGAGGAATTTTCAGACCACCCTTCTTCTCATGGTTGAATCGAACCACATTCCAATCCCCCAAAGCAATCCAAGCTCCATTAATTTTATTAGCTTGGACCTTAAGAGACTTTCATAACTCCCTTCTGTCAATAGCTCTATTTGCAGCATATACAGCCGTAACATAAAAACATAAACCAGACCCTAGATGAGTTACCTGCCAAACCAAAATTTTCCTAAATG